TGTTGAAGAGGAAACTTAGGCTCAAAAAATTAAGTGATTTTTAGAGGGAAGTGTCAGTGGGTCACGGCAGTAGGTCACAGTTCATAGTATTGCAAGGAAGAGCAGAATCTCCCCTCTGTCTCTCAGGACAATTCCTGTTCCTCCAAGCCAGGGGTGAGCAAACTACAGCCTGCAGCCAAATACAGTCCATTGCCTATTTTTGCACATCTTGCAAGCTAAGAAGATTTTTACAATTTTATATGGTCAAAAAAAATCGAAAGAAGAATAGTATCTTGTGGCACATGAAAATTATATGAAATTTAAATTTCAGTGTCCATAAATGAAGTTTTATTGGAACATAGCCATGCTCACCAGTTTGTCATGTCAATGTCTGCTTAGCACGAAAACAGTGGAATTGAGTCGTTGCCACAGAATCCCTATGTGGACATATTTACTATCTGGCCCTTTATAGAAAAGTTTACCACCCCGTAGTCTAAATAATACACGAAAGCTAGTCTAATTTAGGAAATTCAACTTCCCTCCTGACTCCACAATAGTAGCAGCAAAAAACCAGAACACAACAGAAGTATTACCCATATATGTGAGCATTAATATCATAAAACATCTTAGAATGGAGAAATTAATAAGGAGTACAAAATTACTAAGTGGTCCATAGTTGGCCTCAAAAACTTCTGCACAAATTAGCAAAAATGACCTATTCCTTCTCTTCGTAATGCAATGACACCTGATATTTCGTTCCACTAACTTTGAGCCCTTTCTGCAAACTGACATACATTTTAAAACTTGACACAAATTACAATAAATTTTGATAGTCTAATTTTTATGCATCTTGTGAAATATATATACCCAGTTTATTGGTAAAAAGAAGAACAAAAATTAACACTTACTGATCACCCATTGTGTGCAATAGCTTTTAAGAAATGGCTTCACAGTATCTAATTTAATCCCCATAGCAAGCCTACATGCTGATATTAGTATCCTAAATCTGAGGTTCAGAGACATTCAGTAACTTGCAACTTGCTCCCAGTCATCCCGCTAGTCTATGAAAGAGCGGTCATCCCAACTCAGGGATGGTATCAAGGCACACGCTTTGTTATGACCCACATACCTCTCTTGCACTTGCTTAAAAACTCCTGATATAGACTATATAGATTCCAAAATTATACACAGTAATATTATGCTAGAAACTTCAAAGAAAATGGTTAGACTGTACTTCTCCAGGGAGGCAGAGGAAACTTCCAAAGGGATAGACTGAGATTAGATTTTTGTCCCCAGATGAAATAATCACCAGTACAAAGGCGATCAAAGTACCAAGAATAAAACATCATAGAATTCCATATTTTAAATTTAGTAGCCATTATCGACCTTCACTTCCAAGACATACATTTAAAATATGTTGATATTAAGGCTGATGAGGTTGCCATTTGACATTACTGGCCACTCAAAGGTGAAAATGAATCTCTATTGACAGCAATTATTTCTAAATATTCAGAGGCTTGTATGAAATAAAAGTATTTAAAATTTTAAAAGGGGATGATTTCAGAACTTGAGGCAGAAGCAGAAATGATTTCAAGCTTTCAAGACACTGGAGACTTTTCTTAGATTAGGCAATATATTAATATTGCCTCACTAAAGATTAATAGTGCATTTGCCACATTATTAAGTTAACAGATTTCTGTGTCTGTGATTCATGCCGATAATAACTTTATTCCTATTAACAATAATTCTCATTTGAAATCAGTAACAGAAACTTCCAAGTTGTGCTGGGAGCCTTTCAGTCTTGGAGTTGTTCCGCTGCCAGCACTTTTTGTTAAAACACATCATTCATTTTCCTCTGATTGGGGGATATGTGCTGAATAATTTTCCTGAAGTAGGGCAGAACTAGCTATTGTTCCCTTCACTTTTGCCATCTGTACCCAACCAAAACAGTCCTCGCTTACTACTCTAAGGGTCAAATTCAAGATAAATTATCCCTAGGACATGTTTTATACAGATGGAAAGAATTTCAATGCAAGTGTGGTCCCTTCCCGTGTTAGGGCAGTTGACGCAGCAATAGGCTCATTTTACGATTGGTAGATCCTTAACAGCTGTCCTGACTCTATGACTCTGATTCTTCTTATACCCTCTCAGATTGTATAATTGAGTACAGAGAAGGAGGCAATGAAGGATTCAAATGAGAAGTTATCCTCCGATGCTTGAGCAGGGCTGCTCTCCCAGGGTGGTGGTGAGGCAGGAATCCTAATGCAGTTCTCGCACTGTGAGAGAAATAGTTTGGAGAATCCATTCCTCAAGAAGACTTGTTCGACTTTCCCTCCATGTCAATCACTAGTTTCTTTGTCACTGAGAATTAAAGAAATACCATGTGCTACTAATGCCCATGATGAAGATGTGATGATTGTAACAAAGCTCATGAACTAGAAGAGTGAAGAGATGCCCCTTTCAGA